CCCCCCACTGCCGCCGCCGCCGCCGCCACCACCGGCACCCCCTCAGCATGTGCGCCGGCCAGCGTCCCCGCCGACGTGTCGCGTGCCTGGGTGGGCCGATCGCTCCTCCCGGTTTGCGACCTGGCCACAGGCGTGGAGGCCCATGCCGGACACTACCGCCCTGCTCCTGCTCCTGCTCCTGCTCCGTTCCCCAGCCCTGTGACACGAACGCGAGACGCCATGCCCGCCGGGGTTTCCCCTCGATCTGCCTCCCCGGCTGTTGAGGGGAGCATGCCCTCGGCCTGGTGTCGCCCCGCCCCGCCCCGCCCCCCCCCCCTGTTCCCCCGTCCCCCGGCGCCCCGCGTCCCTCCCTGCCCCAGCGATGCGGCAAGTGAGTGACAGCAAACGGCTCCCCGCCTGTTGAAGGGGATCCGGGCTTTTGTTGGACACTCGGCTCGAGTGCTCAGCTACCCCCCTTCCGGCGCCTCCCCCCGCCCCCCCCCCCCTCCTCTCCCCCCCTCCCCTCCCGCCTCCTCTGCTTGTGTGACCGGCTTCACGTCTATGCCGGCGCTCGTTGTGCCCTAGCCTCCCGTGGTCCCCCGCCAAGCCGCCGCCGCCGCCGCCGCCGCCGCCGCCGCCGCCGCCTGATCCGTGTGTCCTCCCCTCCCCCTCCCCCCCCTGCAAGCCTCACTTGGCGATGAGTGCCCCCTCGAGCGGCGCGCATTATGACAGCTACCATCGGCTGGGCCCAGCCGATGAGGGCCAGGACGCCGCCACTGAGCCGCTTCTTGACCTGGAGGCTGGCACCCTGGATGGTGCTCCCGACGCGCCAGGACCCCCGGCCACGCCGCCGGGCTTGGCCCGTTTCCTGTGGGTCCGCCTCTCCCCGGGGGTGACCTCCTCGAATGCCATCGGCTTCTACCTGGCCTCCTTCCTCAGTATGTCTCCCCTCCCTCCCCCCTCCCGGCCCTCCCGGCCCTCCTCCCGGTGTCGTGCTCATCCCGGCCCCGGCCGGAGCCGGAATCTACCCCGCCCTCTTGCCCCTGCCCGCCCCCTCTTGCCGCTCCTGCTCTCACACGCCCTCCAGCCATCATGTGCTTCACCTTCGTCAACAGCGCCCAAACATACCTGCTGGATTCGATGCTCAACGTGCCCGAGGAGAAGATCGGCATCTACACCGGCAACCTGGGCTTCTACAGCGAGCTGGCCATCATCCTGCTGGTTACTCCGTGGGGGGCCTTCTCCGACGCGGCTGGCCGTCGCATCACCTTCGTCCTGGGCCTGACCCTGATGGCCTTCGCTTTCATCATGTTCCCCTTTGCCCCGACCTACAGCATCCTGGTGGCCGTTCGCATGTTCTACGCCCTCGGTGCCTCGGCCGCGGCCCCCTGCCTTACCAGCACCCTCAGTGATTACATCTGGCGCGAGGACAAAGGATCGGCCAGTGGGTGCGTCCTGTCGCCTGCTTGCCTTGATCTCCTGCCTCCTTTCTCTCTCTCTCTCTCTCTCTCTCTCCATCCCTCCTCCTGGCAGCCACTGACCCCCTGCCTTGTCTCGGGCCTTTCTCCCTCGCCCCCCCCCCCCCCCCCCTCACCTCCAGTCACCTTGTAACCCCCCCCCCCCCCCCCCCCCCCCCCCCCCCCCCCCCCCCCCCCCCCCCCCCCCCCCCCCGTTCTCCGCCCGCACTGCTGCCATGCGAACAGCCGGCGTCTTTACTCCAGGCAGCTAGCGCTCGACGAGACAATGCAGCCCAGGTGGGACCCGCCGGGGGGAGGCATATGCCACGCCGTCAAAGTTGACGGTTTGCATGGGACCTCTCTTGCAATCGTGCGTGCATGTGTGTGTGTGTGTGTCTGCGAGGAGGGGGAAAGTCCATCCTGCCTCTTTGTCTTTCTCCCTTTCTCTCGTTCGCCCCCCCCCCCCGCAGCATCCTGGGCTTCTTCTCCGGCCTCGGGGCCCTGACGGCGGTCTTTGTCTTTCTGCGCATCGCCGATCTGAGTGAGGATGCTCGCGGTACTGACGGTGCCGGCGTGGCCATGTACCTGTGCACCGCACTGTCGGTCTTCCTGCTGACCATGGTCGTGCTGGTGCTGCTTCAGCCGATCACTTCGCAGCGGCACTCGGCCACCGCCACCTGCCCACCGGCCCCGAGCAAGACGCAGGAGCAGGAGCAGCAGGCCCAGCGGCAGCGCGACTCGGATGGCATCTCCGAGCCCAAGGCGGGCTCTTTCCAAAATCCCTCCTCCTCACCGCTGGCCCCCTCCTCGCCGGATCTGTGCCACTGTGAGAATGACCTGCCTCCTGGGTCCGGCGTTGGCGAGGCGGCGGCGGCGGCGTCGTCACCACCGCCGACCACCCTCGGCCGTCTGCGCGCTTTCATGCCTTTCGACACTTGGCTTGAGGGGATGCGCGCCGGCGCGTCGGATCCCCGCCTGGCTCTCGGGTTCCTGGCCGGGCTCGTTGCTCGCGGGGACTCGCTCGTCCTGACGACCTTCCTGTCGCTGTGGGTTTATGACTATGCCACGGAGAACAGCGGCCTGACGCCCGGCGAAGCCAGCGCCCTGGCCGGGCAAATTAGCGGCATCGCACAAACCTGCGCCCTGGCTTTCAGCCTGGTGGCCGGCTGGCTGTCCACCCGCCTGGACCCGGTCCTGTCGCTGCTGCTCCAGTCGATGATCGCTGTCGTCGGCTACTCGGCCATGGCGATGCTCACCGACCCGACGGTGTGTTTGCCCCCCCCCCCCCCCCCCCCCCCTCGCTCCTTTGCCCACTCCCTTTCGGGTTCCCTGCATCTTGTCCAGCGTCGATGCCTCCCCTCTCGGCCTGCCGCTTGCATCTAACACGCCGGACCGGCCGCGCCCCTCCCTCTGTGCCCTCGGCCGTTCGCCTGGTCGCGCCCGGATAGGATACCATGGCCCTGGTGTTTGCGTGTGTTCTGGGCGTCGGGGAGATCGGCATCATCGTGTCGGCACAGGCCCTGGTCACGCGCCGTGCGCCGTCCGGCATCCGTGGCGCCGTGGCCGGGACCTACAGCCTCTTCGGCTCGGTGGGCATCCTCCTGTGCAGCAAGCTGGGCGGGTATCTGTACGATGTGTGGCGCCCGAGTGCGCCGTTCGCCATCTTCGCCTTCTTCAATGGGCTGGTTGTGGTGTGTGCCGGTGCGCTGTCTCTGTACGAGCGTGTGTACGGGCCCCGGGGCCAGACCCCCTGGGTGGCCGAGCTGCCGGATGCCGTGACCCCGGCCACGGAGAAGCCCCCCAGGGAGGAGCACTGATGGCCATGCTTTTTCCATGGCCCTGGCCGCGCTTTTCCGGCCCCCCTCCTCTCGCGCCTTTTTCTTGCGCACATGTGCGCGCACCTGCGCTCCAGCATGCCCGCACCCCCCCCCCCCCCCCCCCCCCCCCCCCCCCCCCCCCCCCCCCCCTCCCTCCCTCCTCTGTCCTTGTTCTCCTCCTTGTAATGGGCCAGCTGCATATCGACCCCCCCCTGTGCGTGGCTCTCCATGTTGCTTTCCGGCGGGTCGTCGGCACGCGTACGCTCTCCGCGCTCCCTCCTTCCAAATAAAAGTCCAAGATCTATTCGACCGGCGACAACGGTGGTCTCCCCTCAAGCAGCTCCGCCTCCACCGGTCCCTTGCAAATGAAAACCGCCTCCCGGGCCAGCGAGCCGTGCGCCTGCAGGACACGCGGGAAATAGGTTGCCAAGTCAATCAGCGTCTCGGGCTCACCCTCGAGGGAGATGCGCTCGGTCAGGAAGGACAGTTGCCGGATGGCCGACGGCGGGTCTGTCTGGAGCCGTGGTGCCAGCTCAATCGCCAGCGAGCCCTCTTCTGGGGGTTTTATGCATGCGCGTGCGCGCGTGTGCACGGTGCCGCCATGGGACCAGGATGGGGGGATAGGCAAGTGGCCAGCCAGGGGAAGGGACATGTGTCAGCGCGGGGAGGATCATGAGGTGTGGCGAGGCATATGCTTGCACCTGGCGGCGTACCGTCGCGCATCTCGACCAGTGGCAGCTCCAGGAAGGCGTCTTTGTGCCACACCTTCAGTCGGAAGAGGCGCGGAAGCACCCCGTCCGGATAGCAACAGTGGTGATACCGGTCGTCCAAGCACAGGGCGTCGTGCTCTTCCGGGCGAACCTGCGAGCCAGTCAGGACGAGCCCACTTGCGGGCATTTCTGTTCCGGCGGCTTGGCCAAGAAGGTGCCCCTGGAGGCGCCAGTCATCATCGCTCAGGCAGATGACTGCCAAAATGGCGACCCTGGCGCGTGGGAGGAGATCCTCGATCATTTGTCACCGGAGGAGGAGGAGGCGGTTGGCGGGGCGGGTGTGCGGGTGTGCGGGTGTGCGGGTGTGCGGGTGTCGAGGGGGAGGTCGAGGAGGGGGGAGGGAGTCGATGGGGCTGATCGCGCTGGTCTCCCGGGGGGCCAGGCCGCGCCGCCCCATCAGAGGGGGGTGGCGCCCCTGCACGCCGGTCGACACGATCGGGCGCCGAAATGCGGGGGCACCTGTGGGGGAGATCGGCTCCACATGAGACGGTCACGTGCAACAATCCACGCCGGCCGCCGGCGGTCGTCGTCCAGCCCTCGGGGGGGGGGGCGGGCGAGGGTCGCCGGGCCAGGGAGCGGGCGCGGGGGAGCAGGGTCCGCGGCGCTTGAGGGGGGGCGGGGGCGGGGCGCCTCAACGGCGAGTCCCATCCCCCAACGGATGCTTTGTGCCCCTCGCCTCGGCTCCCGGGCCCAGGGGACCGTGTTAAATGGAATTTCCCCGCCCCCTGTTGTCGCTGGACTCTCGGGGGGGGGCGGGGAGGCCACCAGGGACTGTTTTCTGGCCGTCTCCTCGGTGCCGCCCACCGCGGTCTGTCAGCCTGCAGCCTGGTTAGGGTCGCGGCAGGCGGGCGCGGGCTCTGGTGCCGTCTCCGCGGGGGGGCCGGGGGGGGGGGGTGTATCCAATGGCATGAAGCCCCTGGGCGCGCCAGCCCACTTGTGCCAGGTCCCCTGACTCTCGTGGGAGGGGGAGGGGGGCGGGCGGGCGGGCGGGCGGGCGGGACGAGCGGCCATTTGGAGGCCCCCGCCCCGTGTGTAGTGCACGTCTGCTGGCGGATTCTGGACTTAAAGTGGGGGCGCATGCGCCCGGCCGGGTGGTGGGCGGCCAGTAATTGTTGCCGTTTCGGGGTGTCAATATCCCCCCCCCCCCCCCGCCGGCTCCCGACACCGGACAACCTCTCGGGGAGCGGCGGGGGGGGGGGGCACTCAGGAAAAAGGCAGAGGCCCTGGCCTGCCCCTTGGCTCCTCGTGCGTGCCCCGGGGGCTGGTTGTTGTCTGGCCGGCCCTGTCTGCTCGGAGGACGGGGGGAGACGAGCGGCACTTAGGGGATGGAGCCCCTCGTTGTCAAAGGGGCCTGGCCCATTGTGGAGGGGGTTTGTGCGTCGTACGTGGGGGGGGGGGGGGGGGGGTGCTTGCCCGCGTGTGTGCATGCGTGCCAGGAGAAGCATGGTAGCGGGCGGGCGTGTTGCCTGCCGCCGGGTCTGGCCTCTTTCGAGCACCACCAGGACCGGGCCGCTCGTCGTTCTAATGTTGCAGAGTCGCACAGTCCTTTCAAAGTGTCCCCTGCCTCCGTTGGCGGAGCGCCGGAGACGGCGAGGCGCCGGGGAGCCAGCGGGCCTTTTTCGACCTTCCGCCGGCTGCCGGCGTGCTCCTCTCCCTCTCTCTCTCTCTCTCTCTCTCTCTCTCGGTCTGGTGTCCCTCTCCTTGGGGGGGAGCGGGCTCTCTTTTTTCTGTCCCCCACTCAGGGGGACCATTCCGCCAGGCCCTCCGATGGGAGGGAGCTCTGAGCTCGGGGCCGGGGGGTTGGGGCACACATCAATGGCGAGCATCCTGTGTGCATGCCTTTGGCGCGCCAGGGCGGATCGCCGCATGAGTGTGCGCGCACGCGCGCGCGCGCCGGTTCAGGGGCGTAAACTCGTGCTGCGTCCTCCCCCCCTGATATATGTGTGTGTATTTGTGTATTTGCGTGTGGCCGTGTGTGTCCATGTGCGCGGTACAAGCGCGCCCGTGTGTGCCACCTGGACGTCCGGACGTCTCGGGCCCGGCCGCGGGGACGGGGCGTGCGGCCTCACCACCCCCCTCCCCCCTGCCCCCGGACTGGCGAACTTTTGGGGGCGGGAGAGGAACCCCGGTGTGTGTGTGTGTGTGTGTGTGTGTGGGCGCGCGCGCTCTCTGGGTGTTCGTGGGTCCTCTGCGAACAGGGAGGCGGCACGGGCGAGGGGGACCGCGGCTCATGCCGGGACCACCCCCGACCACTGGGACCCCCGCCGCCCCGGCCCCCCCCCCCCCCCTGCACACTCGGGCCCGGGTGTGCCCTCCGCCGCCAGGCTTTTTCAGGAGGCGCCCCCTCGTCGCCGCCGCCCTCTGTCGTCCCGGGTCCAGGAAGACAGCTTTCACCTCCCACCGCACCAGACATCCCGCATTCCTTTGCCCCCTCCCGCCCCTTCCCCCTCCCCCCCCCTCTCCCTCGCCCCTTCCCCCCCCCTCCGTATGTCCCCTGTTTCTCCCCGTGTGCATCTTCCTGCTCGGCTGTTGCCACCTGTGTCGCCTGGTTTGTGGGGTCCCTCCCCGGCTCCCCCCTCTCGGCTAACGTGAGCCTGCTCCCGGCTTCTCTCTCTGCTCCTCTCCGCGCCACCCTCCCTCCCTCTCTCTCTCCCTCTCGCCTGGCAGCTGGCCTTCTTTCACGGTCGCCCACCACCATGTCTGCCACCATCGACATCGACAACATCATCAACCGCCTCCTTGAGGGTGCGTTCTCCTGCCCCGGCTCGGGCTCCTCCCTGCCTTTTCCTTGTCCCCCCCCCCCCCTCCTTCTTCCCCTCTCTCTTGCTCCGGTTCACGCGCGCTCATTGACCATGGCCATGACGCCCGTTTTTCCTCGTTCCTCCAGTTCGCGGTGACCGCCCCGGCCGCACTGTTGACCTCAGCGAGTCGGACATCCGCCTTCTGTGCGCCCAGGCGCGCGACATCTTCATGAGCCAGCCCGTCCTGCTGGAGCTCGAGGCCCCGATCAAGATTTGCGGTGCGTCCCGCATCCTGCTCGGCCTGTGTGGCACCGGTCGCCGCGCGCGTTGATGCCGGGCGCCGGGCGCCGGCCGGCGCGTTATTCCCCCCTCTCTCGCCGCCGCCGCCTCCCCCCCCCCCACTGACCCCGTTCTCCTTCTCCTCCCCTCCCCCCCTCCCTTCTGGCAGGTGATATTCACGGTCAGTACTACGACCTGCTGCGGCTATTCGAGTACGGCGGCTTCCCGCCCGACACGAACTACCTCTTCCTCGGTGATTACGTCGACCGCGGCAAGCAGAGCATCGAGACCATCTGCCTGCTGTTGGCCTACAAGATCAAGTACCCGGAGAACTTCTTCATCCTGCGCGGCAACCACGAGTGCGCCGCCATCAACCGCATCTACGGCTTCTACGATGAGTGTGCGTATTGGTCTCTCTCCTCTGGCCCCCCCCCCTTCCGGCCCCCTCTCCGGTCTGCCCCGCCGCCCGGTGGGAAGCATCTCCCCCCTCGCTGACGCCCCCCCCCCGCCTCCCCCCCTCGCCGTTGGGCATATATCTTGCCCTGGGCCTCTGCCACGCAGGCAAGCGCCGCTACAGCATCAAGCTCTGGAAGACCTTCACCGACTGCTTCAACACCCTGCCCATTGCGGCCATCGTCGGGGACAAGATCTTCGCCATGCATGGTGGTCTGTCGCCGGACCTGCAGTCCATGGAGCAGATCCGCCGGACCGTTCGGCCCACCGACATCCCGGACTGCGGGCTCCTGTGTGATCTCCTCTGGTCGGATCCGGACAAGGATGTCACCGGCTGGGGCGAGAATGACCGTGGTGTGTCCTTCACCTTCGGGCCGGACATCGTGGAGACCTTCCTCGAGAACCACGACATGGACCTGATTTGCCGCGCGCACCAGGTCATCGAGGATGGCTACGAGTTTTTCGCCCACCGGAAGCTGGTCACCCTCTTCTCGGCGCCCAACTACTGCGGTGAGTTCGACAACGCCGGGGCCATGATGAGCGTCGATGAGAATCTCCTCTGCTCCTTCCAGATTCTCAAGCCGGCCGAGAAGAAGCCCCGCTATGCGTACCCCGCCGCGCAGACCGGGAAACCCATGGCGCCCTCTCGTGTGAGCACCCGCAACCCGAAGAAGAAGTAGGCGCCCTGTGTGATAGGCGCCCTGCTCCTCTCCCTCGGCGCGCGCGCGCGCGCGCAAGGGGGAGGGAGCGGCGGGGCGAGGCGGGCAGGACGCCGGCCGGGCTGGTGCTGGTTTCCCTCCCCCTCCCCTTCCCCTTCGGTCCTGCCCTTGTTCGTCTCTTCTCCCCTCCTTCCTTTCCGCGCGCGTGCGCTCCGCCAACCAGCGCGGCCGGGGCGCGTCCATCCCGTTTCTTCTCTCCTCCTCCTCCTCCTCCCCCCCCTCCTCCCCCTGCTCCCGCGATGTGTCGGGCTGTCGATTGCCCTCGGTCGGTGGCGGCCTTCTCTTTCCCCTTTCTGAAAAATGTACCTCGAAAATCTCCACACAGCATGCCCTGGGCGCGTCTATTTTGCTTCATGCTGGGAAGGGGCATGGGGGACGCGGGAGGGCGGAGGGGGGCCCTTCGGGAGGGCCGCGCTTCCTCCTCTCCCAAGGATGGCGGCCAGGCCGATCGGCTCTATCGGTGGCCGTCGGCGCCGGCTGCAAGGGCGGCCCGCAGCTCCTGCAGGCGAATGTCGGCTGTCGGCACGGCGCTCGGCGAGCCGACAGTCAAGTCCGCGCCCGAGGTGGACTTCGGGAAGGCAATCACCTCGCGCAAGCTGGCCGCTCCGACCACCGAAGCCACCAAGCGGTCCACCCCGAGGGCGATTCCCCCATGCGGGGGGGCTCCATACCCGAGGGCCTCGACCAGGTGGTCAAACTCGGCCACTTGTGTTTCGGAGAGCTGGGTGGCGCGTGTGCGTGTGCGTGTGCGTCAGGATAATGGCATGAAGTCGATAGTCGGGTCTCAGGGGAGCGTGCTTGCATGTGGGCGGGCCCCAGGACAGAAAGGGAGCACATACGTTCAGGATGTGCCGGAAGACATGCTGCTGGACATCGGCCCGGTGGATGCGGATGCTCCCGCCACCCAGCTCCGAGCCATTGAGCACAAGGTCATAGTGCTGGGCACGAATGCGCGCATGATCGCGCGGGTCTGCCGAGAAGAGCAGGCCCACATCCTCCTCGTGGGGTGCGGTGAATGGGTGGTGCGTCGATTCGCGACGAAACTCGCCCGTTTGCTCGTCATGCTCCACCGTGAACAGGGGGAAGTCCTCGACCCACAGGAAGTGATCCTGCTGCAAGAGGGGCTCGGCCCAGGCGGGATCTACGTCGAGGCAGGGGGGGGGGCGGCAAGCAGGAGGTCAGAGAGAGGCGGCGCTCGTGCGTGGCCGGGCTCCATGTGTGTGTGTGTGTGTGTGTGTGCATGTACCCAGCTGGGCGAGCCGCTGAAAGACGTCAAGCCGCTGACGGCCGGCCTCGGTGCTGGCGGCACCCTGGGAGTTGGAAGCCGGGGCGTGGCGTTTCCGCGCACATGCGTGCGTGCGTGCGTGCGTGCGTGCGTGCGTGTGTATGGAAGCATGTTAGACAGGCAGCGGAGGGGGAGACGCGAGCAGCTGCAGCCGCGCTGGCCGGGGCCGATGCCCAGCCAGCGGTACTTACGGGGAGACGAGGTGGGCTGGCCACAAAAACAATGGTGTCGCCAGGGACCGCGCCCAGGGGGCCGAGAATCTCGGCCTGGATGCCGGTCGACTGCTTGTCAGGGAAGTCAAAGAGGGCAGTGCTGGCACCGACCGCGGCAAGCCCACGGTCGGCCGTCACTTCGGCCGCAATCACAAACTGCCGGTCGGCGGGGTGTCAGAAAGGCCTGCGAGGTGGAGCGACATGCACAACGGCAGGAGGCCGGGGGGGGGGACATACGTGACCCTTGCGGGAGGCCTTGGAAAGGGCACGCCAGGCAGACTTCGACATCCGGGGCAGGGCGCCCGGCACGACAAAGGCCTCCAGCGTGGCCGCACCCCCGGGGCCGGCGGCGGCTTCGTCGAAGACCCGCCGGAAGGGGGCGAAGGAGGACCTCTTGCGGGCGACCGTCGACAAGTCGTGGATCTGTTTGGAGGAGCACCACCAGGGTCAGCCAATTTGTCGGCCACAGAAAGGCGGCCCCGGCGGCCGCGAGGCAGCGGCCCCTGTCCCCGGTGACTCAGGGCAAGGGCCACAACGTACAATCATGTCGAAGCGGGTGTCGGGCTTGTCGCTGCCGTACTTCGGGGATGGGGCCGGCCAGGGAAGTGGGCATCAGTCCGGGACAGCGGGAAGGGCGGGGGGGGGGGAGACCATTAGGGCGGGGCAAGATCGCGGCAGGATCCGAGGGGGGCAGAGGGGGCGGCATGTCCCCGGTGAATGGGCAGAGCGCACCATGCGAATCGCGTCATCGAAGGACAGAACGGGGAACTCCTCGGGCAGCGTGACGCCCTTTGTGATGTCGCACAGGGGGGGGGGGGCGGGGGACGTCAGGCGCGGCCGCAGCGCGAGTGCTAAGCCATGGGCCATGCGGCCGATGTACCTTTGCCTCGGCCCAGATGGCGCTGATGACCTCGTGCACGGTCTTCTTCACGATGGCCGGCGTGGCGTACGACATCTCGATGTCCAGCTTGTTGAGGGGGGGGGGGGGGCAGCCGGCAGGCGAGGGAGGGCGGGCGAGACCGAGGGGGACAACGGTCCCGGAGCGGAGGGCAGTCATCCGAGTTTAGCCTCCTACGGCGCGGGCATGCCAGGGCACATGCGCGGGTGAAGGGGGCAAAAAGAGGCCGGCGGCACGTCTCGCACCTGGGTGAACTCCGGCTGCCGGTCCGCGCGGAGGTCCTCATCGCGCCAGCACCGGGCCACCTGGTAGTACCGGTCAAAGCCGGCCACCATGAGAAGCTGCTTGTACTGCTGCGGGCTCTGGGGCAGGGCGTAAAAGCGCCCAGGAGCCCGGGCCGGGACCAGGAACTCGCGCGCCCCCTCGGACGTGGCCTTGAAGAGAGTGGGCGTCTCGATTTCCACGAAGCCCGCCGCGTCGAGGATTCGGCGGGCCGTTCGCAGGGTCCGGTGGCGCTGGCGCAGGTTCCCCTGCAGCCCGGCCGCCCGGAGGTCCAGATACCGGTACTGCAATTTCAGGCGGTCATCCTGCACCGCGGCCGCCGGCCCCGGCGCCTTGCCGGTGCCAATGGGAAAGGGCAGGCCGCTGGCCACCGGCCGGCCCAGGGGGGTGATCGTGTGCACGGCCACCTCGACCAGGCCGTCGGTCACCCCGGCCCCGGCGTGCTGGCGCTTGGAGGCGTCCGGCCGGCTGATCACGGTCCCGGTCAACTGGACCACGGTCTCCAGCGGCAGAGAGCGCAGCAGGTCCCCCACCGCGGGCAGGCCGCCGGCCGGCGCCTCCCACACGAGCTGCGCCACGCCCGAGTGGTCGCGCAGGGTGCGGAACACCAGCTGCTCGCTCATGGACCGGGGATTCTGCAGCCAGCCATTCAGCCTGACCGACTGGCCGACCAGGCCCTCGGAGATGTCACCGCAGAGGTGCGACCGGGGCTCGAAGTTCCAGTGGAGGTCGGCCCCTGGACCGGGGGCCGCCGGCGCTGGGCACCCGGCCGAAGGCGCCGGGTCCACCGGGGCCGGCCGCCCGGCCGCATCGGCGGCCAGACTGGAGAGCGCCCGGCTCCAGGCACCCGCCGGCCGACGGGGCACGCAGCCGGTCAAGCCTCGGCACGATCGCCAAGCCGCGAGGGGCAGGGCGCGCAGCAGAGGCGGCATGAGCTCGGTGGAAAAAAAAAAGAAGAAGAAAAAGCGAGGCGGGAGAGCAAAGCACAACCCGGCGGAGGGGCTGGCCCGGGGCAGAGGGGCGGAGAGGGGGGCGGCGGGGAGAGGGAGGCGCTGGATGCCAGGCCCGAGCACGCGCTCAGCCCTGGCAGGACGCCCGGTCTTGGGCAGGTGCGTGGGGAAGGGCGATCCCTTCGCGGGCAAGTCGATCTCTCGGGCGCCGGAGTGCGTGGCCAGTGCCGCGCTGGACACAGGCCGCCCCCCCCCTCCGGGCGCAATCGCCAGGGGGGGCCGCGGTGGTGGTGCCCCGGCGAGATCCCCCCCCCCGCAGGACCTTGCCTTGTTGTGGGGGCCTCCCATGCGGGCAGGAAAGAGACCCACACAGGGCAGGGACGCCTGTGCACCACCGCGTCAGAGGGGGGTGGGGGGGGTGGGGGAGAGGCGCGGATTTTCTCCCGCGTCTGCTCCCGTCGCGCCCCCCCCCCCCACCCCCGCGCGACCCGGGACACATGCGCGTGGAGAGATGCGCGCGCGCCCGGGCGGGGGGGGGGACGCCCGCAATCGGGCGAGGGGCCATGGAGCAGGCCAGACCGGGGAACGAACGAGGGTGCCCTCACATAAGAGAGATGCCCCGGCCATGGGGGAAACGTGTGTCGGAACGAGTGTGCGAAAATATGTGAGGTGTGAGCGGGACTCGAACCCACGACGATTTTTAATCAGCGGATCTTAAGACCGCCGCCTTAACCATCTCGGCCATCACACCCATCAATTTTCGCGCTTCTGGCTATTTAAACTCTCCCGGCACCGGGGGCGCGTTTCGGTGTACCTTTCTGTCAGCGCCAGCCGAGGAGGTGTGTGTGTGTGTGTGTGTACGGAGAAGCGCGGCAGCAACACGGCCGGGGATATTGTGTGAGGGAGCCGGTGGCGAAAGGGAGGGCGGCAAAAGCAAAGACCCAGAGAGCGAGCGAGAGCGAGAGAGAGAGGGGGGGGGGGG